GGTATTGACACGACACAATTTTCGGCATACAGCGCCAGACATGCGTCTGTATCTTCTGCATTCAAAAATGGAGTAGACGTTGATACTATCAGACGCACAGCTGGATGGTCATCAGGATCCACAATGTTTGCAAAATTTTATAACAGATCTATATTACCTCCTAACGATAATTACGCACATGCTATACTAAAAAATTAAATAGAAATCTTCTCATTACAAAGTCATTCGTTGTCAACAAATCGACTATCGTTTATTAAATAAAGAGTGTGTTATCATAAACTCTGAAAATCTACAGATTCTCAATTTATCATCATTGAGAACGAGACGTGTAATATAATTGATCGATCAAACGAGCCCGCCGAAGGCGGGCGAAGTTTGATATAATTTTATGAAATGTCTCGTTCGAAAATGATGATCACCCACCCGACTCAAAAAATACTTATTCACCCGATCATCATTTTCTTTTTTTATGATAACTACACTTCAATAAAAATCTCTAAACCATATGACGAGAGAGGGCAGCGAGAACCCCTGAGTAACCAACTTTTTATTCTCTAAAATGTTGTGAAGTAAGTCATGGCAAGCATTACTACATATTCTCAATTTATCATCATTTTCGAACGAGACGTTTCATATAATTACGATCGAACTTCGCCCGCCTTCGGCAGGCTCGTTTGATCGATCAATTTACTATATAACATCATCGGCTCTTCTTTGTACCACCCATCCACGTTCATATACAGATGAAAATTTGAATTCCTCAAAATATTTCATCATAATTCATTTTTTCAAATTGGAAATGGAAGCCATTTAATGGAATCTCTACTCTGACCTTCGGTGAAATTTTTTAGATTCATGGTCATTACTGATTTCGTTTGAAAATGAATGAGGTTGGTCCGATCGATTCGATAATAGTACATTAGAGTACAAGGGCACAACTTTCGTTTTCGACGAATGTGAAGTTAACAGAGGCGAGATCTGTATTCACATTCGTTGAAAACGAAGTTTATTCCCGAGTTGTCTACACTATTTTATGCCACATCGTGCAATAAGTCGAGTTTATCGCACGCTGCGCTTCGCGCAGCACTTCTTGCACGGCGTGCCATAAAATACCATGAGGATTGTTAAGCCCTCAAGTTTCACTCCCGAAGACTATTTCAATTGTTTCACTTATCATTCTGTGTAAGATCAGTCTATTATAACAAATAATTTAAGACCCATAATTTTTCAAAGAATCGATGTTTCTTACCTTAAAATTCTAATTTGCGGAAAAAATCCTAAATATGTGCTTTAAATTGTCTCATGCTTTCGAACGAAATGTGTTTCGTAAAATTCTCATCGATATTTTTTCTCCCTTATTAAAAAAAATTCCCCCCCCCCCCTTCCAAGGGTAGTTAACCTCCCCGACACCACTCCTGGATCCTGTCCCAATGGTTTTCCTCATCATTAGCCGTAAGCTTCGTTTTGTACAGGAAAAAGTTTGAAATTTCGCAATTCACGAAAAATCTATTTTTTTAAGTTTTAAATTTCGATTAAGAAAAAATCAAAACAGGTATTCTGTATTTTTTTCTACTTTTTCAAATGGAATTTATCCCATGGGATTTCCATCAAAAGTTTTTTTTCTATGAGAAAAATGAATTTTCACAGGGGTAGTTTACCCTCCATATTTCACCTCCCGGAGACGGTTCTCATTCGCATTTTCATCATTCGTTGTGACCTTCATGATACACTGCGAAAGAGTTGTTCAAAAAGCTTCCTTATGTGTGCAATCGAAAAATGACCCCGAGAGGTGGTCAACTTCAGAGAGCACTTTCACCCCCTAAAACCCAATATGGGCAGCTAAAAAAAAATACGTGTCCCTTAGTTTTGGGTTCCCTATAACACATTTAAGTTTCATCGAAATCGGAGGGGGACATCTGCGTAGTGTTCCTTGTTAGAGTATTTTTCATGCAGCTCGTCACGTTTGTATTTGATTTAATGGATATGATTCGGAGGTAGTGGAGGGGATAGTTGCTTCGTGTATAGATACCCGGCAGCGATCGGTCTGATGTTTTGTAGAATCGTAGTCAAAACTTTTCTTGGTCTATACGCTGCCGCGTATCTCGATACCCATAAATTCTATTCCTTTCCTTGTCTTTTGATAGAATGAATAGAATAAATGACAGAAATTGAGAATTGGAGACTGAAGAAAATTTTATCGGATTATTAATATGTAATAATATCGTTCATTCAGATTCTTCGAGTAATAAATAACAAATCCAAAGACAAGTCTTTTCGAAAAATTTGACCATACAATTGTTCCAAAATCCTCACTTATCATCTCTAAGACTTCAGCAGTATACCAATTACTTTTCATCATAACATCCTCTCATCTTAATTCGATGAAAAATATCCGCACGTCATTAAATAATTTAGACCAAGTTCAATATCATTCTCATTTAGAAAAAAATTTATCACATCTTATTACAGCGATATTTCTTCTAACTGATCTTGATACCTGATTTCTACACGGAATCGGATAAAGTAAAAGCATTGTATTTGGGACACTCCCAACATCTCACCTATCGATCATGCATGAGGGTAATTGATAATTTATCAAATTCACAGATTAGACACACCTCACCATTCAATTGTTATGTCCAGAGAAGGATTTTAGCGTCGAATGGACGTGTTTTAATTGTGACATTAAAATCAAAGCTAAAATTATTGAATATTATTATTATTGGACGACGCAAAGTTTTATACTTTTACCTTTTTTTAAAATATAAGGGAAAACGGGCTTGATTTAGGAATAGGGCTTGAGTTGAGACGAATTTCTAATCAAGACATTTGGAGTTGTAATGGGAATCAAATTTGAATGTAAATATATTTTGTATAACTACTCGGTTTACAAAAACATAAGCGTGATTTTACAGAAATCTAGGTAGCTAAAATTCCTATCCCTGGAATGATTTGAAGGATTCAAATTTGGGTTTACAAATTTTATTACTCACAATTCGGTCTGTTATTTATAAATTATTTGATGTATTTGTAGATCCCTCGGTAAATCCGTAATTTCCTCACCAGCAATTAGTCGCGCTAAAGGCTATTATGGATACTTTCACGGAAACACTTTCTTCTACTCGTTGATATTTTAATGAATTTTTGGCAGTTGATGTTGAAGATTTTAAGAGTTTGGTTGAGACTGTCCACAACGCGTCACAATAAACGAATTCCTTATTTGCAAGAAAAGTCACCACTCTCGGTTAAAGAAATTTTATTCCCCGATAATTTCAATTGTTCGTAACTTACTATTAATTCAGTACTATCCCGTGTAATCGAAGGAAGGATTAAAAAACCGGACCGATTAAATGAACTATTTCCACCAGAATTGTTACTGCTCCGTCGCTGTTTCAAGACTGTTTAATTTTGGTTTTTCTAACATTTTTATATGAATTTTTGGGGTCACTTGTCACATGGGCTCTAACGAGTCCATTTTTAATTGGTGGAAAATGTCGTATGACTTTTCCCACTCTTTTGATTTTTATGGGGAAGTAGTTCATTCGGTTTTTGGGGTCTTAATTAATCGATTTTCAATCGTTCCTTCGCGCTCGAATCTTAGCATTGAGTAATTGGGGCATGCTGAGTGTACCATTTCATCACTTTTGAACTCGATTCCAGTGCCTTTGGAATTTTGAATTGAGTTCAAGTGATGAAATGTACTCAGTTTAGTTTACAATTGTGGGTTTGGTTCTTAATTACATAAGTTATAATATAACTTATAGTTATGATCGTACATAAAATTTATTCTAGTCTTAAATTTCTAGTATAAAATTTTTGGATATTACAGCCCCCGCACATAATTGTTTCCGATTGCATTTTGGAAGCAATTTTGAGGAGTTGGAGTTTTAAATTTTATGTGTAGTATGGATAACGTTATTTTGTTTGATAACCGTGCACCGGGCGGTAGCCGTGAGGGGCTGGGTGCTGACGGTAGCATTCTTGGGAGTTCGGATTGCATTGCATTTTCGATTCACCTGTCAGTTTCCCTCATTCGCTTGGTGCCTGTTGAAGTGTTTTTAATTTTGTGTGTGTCCCAGGGATTTTATTGCGGTAAGTATTTTGGAATATTTCTTCCTGCTATTTTGTTTTTGACATGGGTGTGGTGGTTTACTCCCTTGGGTAATTATTCGGGGTTATTTTATCTGTTGGATTACCGCTTATTCTCTTTTTATCTTTTTTTTCCTTTTTTTTTTGTAGATGGCTCCAGGTTCTATTCGAGAGGTTTTGGAGGTTGATGGTGAGAGGGAGGTGGAGGAGGTCCCCGATCTTCCTGGGGGTGCAGGGATCCGTCATTTTGCTATTGTTTTCGGGGAGGTCGAGCTGGAGGGGGATCTCCTCCAGAGCTTTTTGTGGTGGGAGGAAAGGAGGGTAGAGGTGAGGGAGCTGATGAAAGGGGACCGGTTGCAGGCACTGCTGGCGGTGGCGTCTGAGGTTTGTGGGGGAGAGATCTCAGTGGGTGTATTTTTGGAGTTGATCCTGGATTTTCTCGCCTTCTTGGGGCCTTCCTATCAATTGACCACGGTAAGTGGTATATATATATATATTTTTTTTCTTTTTAGGCACGGAGGCTATGGAGACAGCTCCTTATTTTTAAGGGCTTTTTAGCGACGGTGGGGAGGAGGGAGCCCCTAGGTTTTCTGGAGGAATTTTCCTCGCGAATTTTAGGGGTTATTCTGGCAGTTGGCCAGGACATATTGTTTGGTTGATGTTAGACCCCTCTGTACTCATGTCGCTGGAATGGTTTCATTTTCAATCGTATACACTCAGATACGGACAAGGGTCCCAAAACATAAAAGTGCTCATAACTCGCGAAATATTGACTTTATCGCAAAATGAAGTCTAGGACTTTTGATGTTTGTATTTGAACGGGCCATCGATTCCCGAGGTCAAATTTCCAAAATTTCAATTAGGGTGGCCTGTGCCGTGAAGGTTGGATCACTAAATTCAATGATATTGACTCATTCTGCGCAGGGTTTCAGTTTGTTTGGGTGTTTCATGAAGTGGTGTCCGTCTTCACTTTCTAGGTACACGTTTCCTTTTTCGGTTATGTCGACAATCTCGTACGGTCCGGTGTAGGCCTGATCCAATTTTCCGATCTTGGGCTCCTTCTCGACGTAGACGAATTGCCCTATTTTGAGGTCTATTGGTCTAGCGTTTCGGTCGTAAAGGCTCTTGGAATGTAGTTTGGCCTTTTCTAGGTGGTCGAAGGCGAGTTGGTGAATTTTCTGCAATTTGTTAATTAGATCTACCATGTAATCATTGTAGGTATGTATTGGCTCATCTTCGTCGGTAACGTTGGAGGGGAGAACTGCCCTTTTTCCATACAGGACCCCAAATGGTGTGGAATTTGTTGAGCTATGCACAGTAGTGTTGTACGATAGCATGGCGAAGGGGAGTAGCTCATCCCAGTCGGTGAATTCGTCGGTAAGGGTCTTCAGATATTCGGCTAGTACGTGATGACTTCTCTCAAGGGCTCCATTTGACTGAGGTCTATATCTTATATGGTGGAATCTCAGGACCTTTCCCAGTTGATTGAACAATTTGCTGAGGAAGCTTTATCTGAGGTCCCTTTATCTGAGAGGATTATCTTGGGGCATCCGTACAGGGCTACATACTTGGTTGCTAGTGCATGAGCGATGGTGTGAGCCTTGATATCCTTAAGGGGTACAGCGGTGCAGTGCTTGGAGAAGTTATCTTGTATCGTCAGGATATGGCAGTGACCCATACGTGTAGCTGGGAGGGGGCCTACGGTGTCGATAGAGATTCTCTCGAAGCATTCGCTGGGTGTTTCGGTGATGAGCATGGGCTGTCGGAATTTCGCCCTTCGAATTTTCTCTAGTTGACAGGTTCGGCAGAGTTTGATAAATCTCTCTATTTCCTGTTTCATCCCGGGCCAGTAGAACCTTTCTCTTACTCGGTTGAAGGTTTTCACAATCCCTTTGTGTCCTCCGGGGAGAGTTGCATGGCATTCCTTAATGATTTCTGGTCTTAGGGCTGCTGGAGGCATCCGGATTCCACCATGGCATAGAGTTACAGTAGCTGGATGGAATTGAAATTCTTTCTCCAGGAAGTATCGTATTCTGATATTGTCGTCTATTTCGTCGCCCTGAGATGCCATTTTTATTTCAGTGATTTTGTATTTTTCCATGGCGGTTTTGAGATTTTTCAGGCAGAGTTTTAGTATCCGGTTGTTGACTTTTTCGAAGTGCCATTGCTTCGCAATGAGGGTAAATGTTCGGAATTTTCCGCACTTCGTGACGATGACTTGACCTAGTTTTGGATTGAGCTTACGTATTTCCTCCAGGTCTATCAGATTGAGGTCTCTTAAAAGTTTGGTGTTTTGCTTTTTGATCTCTCCATCTGCTGCGAGGAAATGAGCAATGTTTCCCATGGTAAATGTTAGTCCATCTCGGGTTTCTCTGATGTTGCTCGCAGGCTGATAGTCACTTTGCGGTATTGTGATCTTGTCGTCCATAGTTTCCTCATTTGATTTGTTCTGAGATATTTCTCCTTGGGTCTGTATGAAACCGTGCTCTTCGCTCGTGGGAAGGTCAGGCGGGAGGAATTTGGGGTATGGATTCAACGACACCCCCGGTGGCTGTGCTGATGGCGGTTGTGCAATTTCATTTGCTTGGGGAATTTCCGCTTCTCTAGAGTGCGTTGATGAATGGTTTTCTTCGGTGCGTGGGAACAGTTTTCTTGGGATTAGGTATGTTGAAGAATTTTTCTTTTCCGAAGAAGATCCGGCCATAGGTGACTGTATAGCCCTTGGTGTCGGCAGTAAGGATTCTCGTGTGACCTTTGGCTGCGATATCACAGAATGTCTGGATTGAGGTATTTCTTCCTTCCCCGTTTTTTTTGGATTTTGGCCGGTGGAGCTCGTCAGTTCAGTGATTTCGTCGGTTGAGTTAACCAGGGGTTTGGACTGGTTTTGCAACTCAGCCATTTTCTTCTCAAATTCTTGACAGGATTCATTCAGTTTTTCTTTAAATTCTGGACCCAGACTGATTCTTCTCATTTTGTAGAGTGGTAGCAGCTTGTCTAGCAATGGCTCTAGGGGTTCCTGGAATATTTCCTCATCCCTTTCCGAGATTTTCTCCATGTATTCGTAGAATTTTTCCAGGTTTCTTTCCATTCGTTCCATGTTCAATGGTGGACGTGGTGTGGGATTTGATTCTTCATCCTTTTCCTCTTTTCGAGTTTCCGCTTCGATGATAGAAGGCATTTCCTCGTCGGTGGAGTTTTGATCTGTGATGAATGTATCATCCTCCAATTTTTCGTCCGTTGGGATTCCTTCAAGGGAAATTTCTAGTTGATCTTCTTTTCCTTGGTCTTCCATTTCGACAGGTACTATCGATGGTTCATCCTGTAGTGGTGGTTCCTCGGATTCAATTACTGTTGGAGTTGATTCTGGCATCTCCACGATTGGAGGGGCGGATGGAGTGGGGGTCGTTTCTTTCACTGTTTCTGGTTTGTTCTCGATTGTGGCGCCTCGGGTAGATGATGTGGAGTTTTTGCTGATTTTGGGTGTCGTTTTATAATCACGATTCAGTCTGTAGAAGATCGGCTGCCGGGTGCCACTATTTGTTTCTGTTGCTCTTCTAGCCCGAAGCCTGTCGGCAATTGAGCTTCCCGCCGCTGGGATGGGGATAATTTGTGGGTCACTATTTATTCTAACCTTTCGGTTAGGATTTGCGACTGTCCCCGGTGTTTTCACCCTAGACTTTGGTATTGGTAGAGCAGGCATCCAGGTTGCGAACATGACGATTTCTTCATGTTCGTCCTGAAGAGGATTTTCTGCAAAGGCGTCTGATTTCTCTTCTGTTTCTTGATTTCTACCTCAAACGTGAAATCATTCAGGTAGGTTTTCCACTTAACTTGCCTCGTGGTAGGGTTGCTAGAATCTCTGAGCCAGTTCAGGGCTGGGCTGTTGCTAATAATGGTGAAGGGTACTCCATAGATGTAGGGTTTGAACTGGTTTAAGGCGTAGACAGCTGCTAGGCAGTCCAATTCAACTGAAGTATATCTTGTTTCAGCATCTCGAAGTGCTCTCGATGCGTACAGGATCGGGTGTTCATCTCCTTCATCATCTTTTTGGCTGAGGATGGCTCCAATGCCCTTTTGAGTACTGGAAACATGAACGATAAATGGTTCGTTCATGTCAGGATGAAACAGCAGAGAGTCCTCGGTGATGGCTTCCTTGAGGGCGTTGAATGATTGTTCTTGTTCTTTGCTCCATTTAAATCTTACATTTTTCTTGAGGAGATCATTTAGAGGCTGTGCAATTTCTGCATAGTTCTTCACAAATCGTCGATAGTAGTTACTGAAGCCTAAGAATCTCCTTATTCCCTGTTTGCTTGTGGGAAGGGGCATCTCTGTTAATGCCTTCATCTTTGCTGGATCCAGATGAATACCTTGGTCATCGATTATGTGTGCCAGGTAGGCTACCTCCTTCATAAAAAAATTGCATTTATCAGGCTGGAGAGTAAGTCCGTTTTTCCGCAGGCAGTTGAAAAATTTCCTGAGACGGGTGACGTGTTCACCCAGTGTTCTGGAGTAAACAACTACATCATCTAGGTAGACATAGAGTTCTGTCCCTTTTAGGCCAGTTAGGGTCTGATCCATCATCCGCTGGAAGATTGGGGGTGAATTTTGCAATCCAAAAGGCATCCTCATGTACTCGTAGTGTCCGCTGGGACCGGTAAAGGCAGTTTTTTCAGCGTCCATTTCATCCCTTGCGATTTGGTGGAATCCCCTGGCTAGGTCGAACACACTGAAGTACTTAGCTCCGCCTAGTTGTGAGAGAATTTCCGATATGTTGGGTAACGGGTAGGAATCTCCGATCGTTTTCTGATTCAGATGTCGGAAATCGATCACCATTCTCCATCGCTTCGTTCCCTTGGAGTCGGCTTTCTTTGGTACAATCCAGAGGGGTGAGTTGTATGGTGATTCTGAGTGCCTGATGATTTCTTGTTCCAGCAGGTTGTCTATTTGTCGATTTATCTTTTCCTGATGTTGAGGAGGGTACTTGTATTGCCGCTTATGGACAGGTTTATCACCGATGGTTCTGATCTTACACTGGAAATTCTTAGCTTTGCCAAGCTTGTCTCCTGGAAGGTGGAATATGTCATTGAACTCTTTTACTAGTTCAATTACCTCTTTGCGTTCGAAGGGTTTAAGCTCCTGATCGGGTAGGGCCTCTATCACGTGCGATGTGCGAGGTGACAGACCTATATTTTCCTCTGGGGCAATTCCCATATTGCACCAGGCGAAGGTTTCTTGATGTTTTCCTAATATTTCGGTTCTTTCTAGGAGTTCATCGATTTCCTCTACCTTTTGGGGTGGTATCTGGAGGTGAACTGGTTCTTCGGTGGTGTTGATGGCGAAGAGACAGACTTTCCCCTCCCTAATGCTGACCACACTCTCGCCTAGATAGACGCCTGGTTTCGTGGAGATCTGTGGTAAATACCCGACCGATAATTCGGTATTCTGGATAGGGATATGGATGGCCATTCTTGCTCTTGGAGGGATGACGGTTGATTCATAAAATTTATCGTAGTTATACCATATCCGCCTGGCTGGTGAGGAATCACGTGGAATTTTATTTGAACTTCAGGATGCACTGCGAGGCGAACTACTCCGAGGGAGTTCAGGACGTGATTGGACAGCCCAACGATTTCGATTGTTTCTGTGGTATCGATGAGGGCGTTTTCTACCAATGACTGGAACGATATTAGGTTTATGGAAGCTCCGGTATCGATTAATGCATTCNGAATTTTATTTGAACTTCAGGATGCACTGCGAGGCGAACTACTCCGAGGGAGTTCAGGACGTGATTGGACAGCCCAACGATTCCGATTGTGTCTGTGGTATCGATGAGGGCATTTTCCACCAATGACTGGAACGATATTAGGTTTATGGAAGCTTCGGTATCGATTAATGCATTCGCACCTGGGGAGATGACATTTGGTCCTCAAAAGATGATCTGAGGACCCCCGGTAACTCTACACAGTATGGGTTTTACTGTCTGGGATGCATGCTCGACATCGTGTGGAGTGAGTGCTGTTTTTGGCCGCTCGTCATCGCACTCAATTGGCGAGCAACAATCTCGTTTAAAGTCTCCTTTGGAATTGCTCCCTCTGTGGATGGGCTGGCTCTGTTCTGCTGAGTTCTCGTAGGACTCCGCAGGGTATTTCTCCCTTCTCGTTCCCTTGAGGGAGGCCTAGAGAGTGGTCTGGAGTCTGACGATGGACGATTCTGAGTCTGCAGGTTATTCAAACTCATCGCAAGCTGTTGGAGTGAGGCTGTGGTCTGCTGCAGCATACTTTTGATCTCGTCCATATCGGAAAAGTTCTGTTTAGGTTTGAATGGGGCTGCATGAGGACGTTGGTTGGCTGCCAAGATGTTAGCGAGCGCTAGAATCTGATCCATGGTAGGGTTTTCTGCAGTTCCCGCTGGTTCCTCATAGTCAGATTCATCCTCGTCGTTCGGAGTTTGACCGTAGGCGATGACGGGGTTAAAGCTGCGCGAAGGGGGGTCACCAGGATGAGCTGTGTGTCCTGGTATAGATGGAGGTGGCCCCGGTGGTCGAGGTGGCGTTTGTCTGTACCCGTTGCCTTGCCTGTTCCGGTTGGATGGCAGATATTCATTGAGGAGAGCGGTGACTAGATCTCGTGAAGGGTCCTGATTTCTCCTCTGTCCGGAATAGTTTCGGTGACCGTAGCT